GCTCCTCCCCCTGACCCCAGCGCACCCTCACCCCACCCCAGCCGCCGCGAGGCTCACTCCGCCGGCAACTTTGCGGAGTCGCGCCGGGCGCTGCAGCGGCCGCAGCCGTGAGATCTCGCCAAGACCCAGACGGCTGCAGGAGCCCAGGCGGCCTCAGGTGTGGCGACACCATGAACGGCTCGGTCGGCCCGGGGGCCGAGACCGCGAGCCAGGAGGGCGGCGGGGACGGCTGGCCGCCCGAAGCCGTCATCGTGCCCCTGCTCTTCGCGCTCATCTTCCTCGTGGGGACCGCGGGCAACGCGCTGGTGCTGGCCGTGCTGCTGCGCGGCGGCCAGGCCGTCAGCACCACCAACCTGTTCATCCTCAACCTGGGCGTGGCCGACCTGTGCTTCATCGTGTGCTGCGTGCCCTTCCAGGCCACCGTCTACACCCTGGACGGCTGGGTGTTCGGCTCGCTGCTCTGCAAGGCCGTGCACTTCCTCATCTTTCTCACCATGCACGCCAGCAGCTTCACGCTGGCCGCCGTCTCCCTGGACAGGTGAGCGGGCGCCCCGGAGGGGGCTGGAGAGGGAGGCGCGACCCCACGACCAAGGAGGGACGCACGGAGAGTGGGAGAGGACACCCAGAAGGCAAACGGACGGAGGGGGTGAGAGGGAAACGGGCGCGGAAGAGGAGACGGAGTACCGAGGATGGGGGCCGCGATGTCCCTCGATCAGGGGCGTCCTCTGGGCCTCGCAGCCTGGAGAATTCGGCTCTGCAGAGCCGCCTGCGCCTGACAGTGCACAGCGTTTCCCGGTACAGAGCGTTTTTGCATTTTTCATCTCGCTCGAGCTTATGCCCCTGTGAGGTTGGGATGGGAGGAATTACTGTGCCCAATTCACATTAGGGATCGAGTTCCCGAGTCACTTGCTTAGACTCGCCCGGCCAGTGACCGTGTGCGTGGAGCCAACAGTCTGTCTCCCAGCGCCGGCCTCCCAGCCACGGTTTGGTGGCTTGGCGCAGACGGTTGGTGTCTGGACTGTGGCACTTGGGTCCTTCACGAGGACACACGCCAGAGTGCGAGAGTCTGAGCTAGCGCGCCTGAGGGCCCCCGTTTGTTCTGCGCCCACCTCCGGTCTAGGGGTCTGGGTCGGGAAGAGGAGCGTCCTCGGGTTCCCCCTTCCCAGCCAGAAGAGAGCATGGCACTTGGGGGGAGCCTGAAGGAACACTGGGGTGGCTCCTGGGGAGGGAATCCGGATCTGATTCCGGTGTCCCCCCCACCCGCTCTTCCAGACCTCCCCGGATACGCAGGGAGGCGAGGCCACGCTCCCACACACATCCCATTTCCACAAGCGCGGAGTGGGTGGGTTCCGATCGCGCTGCGGAGACCCCCAGAGCTCCTTCTCTCAGGAATTGCCGAGAGGCTGTCCCTTGCCTGACTTGCCTGGTCCAGGCTGTCTGCGTGAGCCTCAGGTGCCTTGTCCTACCTCCTCAGGCGCCGTCACTATTGGGTAATCACCCGGGAACCCCATAGCCGGTTCTCCATCCTTTGGTCCTTGGTGGCTCTGGGGTGCCCTTCCAGGTGAAGTCTGTGGTCACAGTCCCGGCGGCAGCAGAAGAGTGGGCTAGATGCGACCTTTCCAGCTGCCGCCCCCCCCCCGCCCCCAGGCTCCGCTGAGTGTCCGGGACGCGCTGGGACTCCCTCCTGGCCTGTGCGGTGTGACCTTGCGCTACAGATCTTCCTCGAAGGCGGGTGGGGCGCGGGGGGCGCCGTCCCGCCGGCGGGAGTCCTCCCGCTCCCGCTCACCCGACGTCTCCCTTCCCGGCTTGACCGCAGGTATCTGGCCATCCGCTACCCGCTGCACTCCCGCGAGCTGCGCACGCCCCGAAACGCGCTGGCAGCCATCGGGCTCATCTGGGGGCTGTCGCTGCTCTTCTCCGGGCCCTACCTGAGCTACTACCGCCAGTCGCGGCTGGCCAACCTGACGGTGTGCCACCCGGCGTGGAGCGCGCCGCGCCGCCGCGCCATGGACCTCTGCACCTTCGTCTTCAGCTACCTGCTGCCGGTGCTGGTTCTCGGCCTGACCTACGCGCGCACCCTGAGCTACCTCTGGCGCGCCGTCGACCCGGTGGCCGCTGGCTCGGGTGCCCGGCGCTCCAAGCGCAAGGTGACGCGCATGATCCTCATTGTCGCCGCGCTCTTCTGCCTCTGCTGGCTGCCCCACCACGCGCTTATCCTCTGCGTGTGGTTCGGCCGCTTCCCGCTCACGCGCGCCACTTACGCGCTGCGCATACTCTCGCACCTGGTCTCCTACGCCAACTCCTGCGTCAACCCCATCGTCTACGCGCTGGTCTCCAAGCACTTCCGCAAGGGCTTCCGCAGGATCTGCGCGGGCCTCATGGGCCGCGCCCCGCGCCGAGCCTCGGGCCGCGTGTGCACTGCCGCGCCGGGCACCCACAGCGGCAGCGTGCTGGAGCGCGAGTCCACAGACCTGACGCACGTGAGCGAGGCGGCGAGGTCCCCTGTCCCTGCCCAGGCGCTTCTCAGACGCGCAGCCTCGAGCCGGGTCCCTGGCCCGTCCTGGAAGAACCAAAAGGCCCCCAACAGCATCCTGACAGTTAATGTGACCTGAAGGCACTTGGGTACGCTTCCACGTCAAAGGGTTGGAGTCAGAGGTCAAGGATCATAGGGAATTTCGTCTGTTAATAAAACGTGCAAACCATTTCACATGCATTAACGTGCTGTCTCCCCGCATTTCTCACTGTCATGAAGCTCCGTGGGAAGAAGTCTCTGGGACTTCACGGGGGGATACCAATAGATGGGTGCGGGGCCATTTGCTGAGCTACCAGAAAAGAGGGTGGCCCACGTCAAAGGCAGATGGGTTAAACATCCTTCTAAGTATACCTGACTGAGGCTGGGGAGTGCACGGTGACCAAAGGCTCTTTGCATGTGGCAATCCAGAGGCATCTGGTGTATATACATCGCTGACCTAGCAGGTGGCATGTGTGCGACAGAGGCAAGTAGAGGGTTTAAGTCCTCCATAGTCAGTTGATGACTGACATTACAGGTGTTCCTAGTCCAATTCGTGCACCAGGGTCTTCCCTGCTTCCGTCTCCCTGGGGCCCCTTTGAGTCTGGGCAGCCTGATCAGCCCCTACCCACTTTTGGCCTTGGTGTTTCCTTCCCTGGCTGCAGCTGGGCCAGGATCGGGTCTACAGCTGCTTGGATTCTCCTTGGGGCCAGGAAAATCGCCTCGTGGCCAGGTTCTGCTTCAGGAGCACAACAGACTCTAAAGCACTGCTAGGCTGGGGCAGGCTGAGAATCCAGTGAAGTAATAGGCACGTCCCAGGGCTTCACTCCTGAGCTGGCCTCTACGGGTCAGGTTTGCCCCACTCCCGGATTTCCTGAGCCTTTACATAAAATCAGCCCAGTGTTTAAGGAGAGGCGGGAAACTCAAAAGTGTCCCCATCTCATGTCGTTGAGCACTGGGCACTTTGGCCAAGGGCCTGGGTTTTTTGTTGTTGTTTCGTGGCTGGCCAGATCCAAACCCTTGACCTTGGTGTTATCAACATCACATTTTACCAAGTGAGCTAACCTTCTAGACAGGCTTGGGTTTTTAGTCAGGCTGGTGCCAGCCGCAGAAATCAGGAGAGTCCTGTGGCATCAGCCCTGATTGGAAGGACCAAGTTGGGGAGAAGTAGTCCAGGGTCTGCCCAGTCCCCCTTAGAGGGCTTTGAATGTGAGGACAGATTCCAGGTGGTGGAAATGAAGCAGGACAGGGACTCCTAGGCAGGTGCAGGGTGGGCGGAGCTGGGTTCTGAGCTTTGTATTCGGGTGTTTGCTGAACCAGGGTGGGGAGTGCCAAGTCGAAGGCCCCAGAGTCCTTGCACAGAGCAGCTGCCTCTGGCCAACTGCTCAGTCCCCAAGGAAGTGACTGCAGCAGAGGTTGTAGCTTACGTGCTGCCTTGTCCAGCTCCTCCATGCAGCCACTGACGATGGTTCTGCGGCTCCTGCTCCATCTCACCTTCCTTGGACATGGCACCATCAGGCCCTTGATCCAGGGACATGGCTCCCACCTGCTGGCGGTCGGTAGGTGAAAAGCATTGTCATAAGCTTTGAGATTTGGGCCCCAGGTCATCTGGGTGACCTCAACTTCCATCCCTCAGCCTGGCCATCCCTGTTCGACCTCAACTCACCCCAGGAGGTTCAGGACACCATCCAGATTCCGAACAACGGGAGTGCACCCCTGCTTGTGGACGTGCAGGTGTTCGTCTCCAACGTGTTTAATGTGGTAAGCACAGCTGGGCTGCTGGAGAGTGCGGGACCCAAGTGCTGAGGTGGGTAGGGGGCAGGACACAGCCCTGGCTAGCACTGGGGTCTCTTGCCTCCTCCTGTCACACAGCCCCCACCCCAAGGTGACACACTGCCCCACCCCTATGACATTCTGCGGTACACAGTGTCCTCCATGCTGCTGCTTCAGCTGGTGAGTTCGTATCCCAGGGGAGGTGGGAAAGGAGAACCCAGCTGAGGCCAGCTCCGAAGTACCGGCCTTTATCAACCTGCCAAGCTTAGGGGCACATATATGCAGAGCTGGAGCCTCAGTGGCATGCCTGTGTCCCCAGTCCTGGCTGGACACTCACTTGGCCTGGAATGCTAGTGTGCAACCCCGGCATGCGGTCACACTGCCCTGGGACTCACTCTGGACTCCCAGACTCAACATCCAGCAGGTGTAAGTGAGGCAGGAGTTCTTGCCCCAGGAATCCTCCACACATATCCCTCCTCCTCTTCCCCATCTAGATCTCAGAGGCTGTCTTAGTGAAAGGTGGTCCTGCCAGACTATCAGCATGCCTCCACTTCTGCATGGTCCTTCCCCCTGCCAGAACCCTGATAATAGTAGGGGTTAGGGGTGGGATGCTAGGGTCTCCCCCACCCCAGTCTGAGAAGGGGACAAGCATCTTTCCATCCCCCGGCTGTGGCACCTTCCCATGCAGGCTCTGGGTGGACTGGAAGGACCAGAGTCCACAGGCCCGAGTCGACCAGGATGGCCATGTTGAGCTCAACTTGGCCCTCACCACAGAGACCAACTGTGACTTGGAGCTCCTCCACTTCCCCCGGGACCAGAGCAACTGCAGCCTCAGCTTCTACACACTCAGCAACACTGGTGCTGACAGGGCAGGGGCTGGGGGGTGACAGCAGAGGGGAGGGGACCCTCTGGCCTCCAGCAAATGTCTGTGTCCACACCAGTCTACTCCCAGGCTTAGGGGAGCTGAACAGATCCTAGAGCAGCACTTGCTTCTCACCCTGCACCTCCCACCCAAACAGCAGCCCATCTCCTAGTTTTGCTCTGCTCTCGGCTGTGGCCTCACGGTCCTCCTCTAGGGGCACAGCAGCTCCACAATCCTGTGGGTCCTGGTCACTTCAGCTTTCTCCCCAGAGCAAATGCCCTCATCAGCCAGGGCCAAACTGCAGTGGCTGAGCCATTTGCATCAAGTCCAGGGGCTCAGGTTGCTGTGGCCTCATTCCTGGAAACTCCTGAAGGTATGGCCACCCGGTAAACAACCCACGAACCCATCAGGTGATGTCTAACTTGGCAGAGAAGTCCTCCCCTTCCCCTATTTCCCTCCCTCCATGAAACACCACAGCCGCTGTGCCAGGGATCCTCATATTTCAGGGGTGAGGTGCTCGTACTGGTGAATGAGTCTGTGACCACTTTCCCCTCCACAAAGTGGCACAAAGTGCATTTATTTTTACAATGAAAATTTGCCTATGAATCTCATAAGGCCCTTCCCTTACCTGGAGATGATTTGGGGTGTTGCAAACCAGGTTTGGGGAAGCCCTTCTATGGACCAGTTTTGTCTCCAAGTCTGCCCCATAGAAACCATCGGAAGTCTCCAGTATCCCTGGGCTCCAGTTTGTTTCTGCCGCTATTCCCAACAGAGATTTGGGGGCAAGGATAGCTCTTTCCTAGTTCTCTGCTCTCAACTCTGCCCCACCCCCTTTCAGTGACAGAGTTGGAGTTCCAAGCCCACGTGGTGAACAAGATTGTAAGTGTAAAGAGAGAATATGTAGTTCATGACTTGAACACCCAAGTCCCACCCCAGTGGCTGGTGCCCTGCTTCCAGGTGATGGTGAGTCTAGTTGGGAAGAGGCCGACAGGGCAGATGGAGGCAGCAGGTCGGGGATACAGAGCCAGAGACGTGACACCGTCCCCCCAGAAAGCCTGACTTTTCCCCTTCCAGTTGAGCCTGAAGAACACAGCACTAAAGTCCATCATAGCTCTGTTGGTACCTGGGGAGGCGCTGCTATTGGCTGACTGTGTGGGGGACTGCTGCCCCTCCGGACCACAGAGCGCATTGCCTACAAGGTGACACTACTGCTGGGCTACCTCGTCTTCCATTCCTCCCTGGTGCAGGCCCTGCCCAGCTCCTCTTCCTGCAACCCGCTGCTCAGTAAGCCTTGCTCCCTCACCTGGCCCACTTCATTCCTCCCACACCTGCTCAGCTCCTTGGCCCCTGACCATCCTCACCACTCTCCCCCTGCAGTTTACTACTTCACCATCCTGCTGCTGCTCCTCTTCCTCAGCACCATAGAGACTGTGCTGTTGGCAGGGCTGCTAGCCCGGGACAGCCTTGAGGCCAAGAATAGTACCAGCCCTGCCCTGAGAGGGGGACAGCAAGATCACGAGAACTTGGGGCCTAATCCTGAAGGTGGGCAGGGGCTGAGGCCTCTTACTGGTGGGGAATGAGGCCCGGGAGCAGGTTTGGCAGGGGCAGAGCTGGCAGGCTGCACACCAAGGGCTGGGGCTGGGACTCAGGAGGCGCTAGGCATGACTAAAGGGTCCCTGCATTCATTCTGCTGGCTCTACTGTCCCTGGGTCCACCACAGCCTCCCTTGGAAGAAGCAGGGAGCAAGTTTAGCCTCCCTAAGGGCCCAAGTGACCTGAACCCCCACCCACAAGATAACCCATGCCTTGCAGAGCCTCTTTAAGAGGGTGTTTCTTCAACTGGAGATGGCCTAGAATGGGCCAGCCCCATATTTTCATTAGTTGAGAATCTAAGGAAGGGAGAAATATAGACTGCCAGCCCCTAGGGTTCCCCCTTTTGCTGGGCATGCTCGGGAGCCCTGAAGAACAGCTCCTTTCCCCGCATCTCCCCTCACAGAAGCCCCCAGAAGAGCGAAGGGGTCAAGGAGCAGCTGGGCTGAGGCTGCTGACCACATCTTCTTCCTCATGTACGTGGCGGGGGTGGTGTGCAGCCAGTTCATCTTCGCTGGAATCTGGATGTGGGCAACGTGCAAATCTGAACCTGCCCCTGGCAGGGCTGCTCCCAGGCTGCAGCCCACGCCATGACGGGGCAGGGCAGCCCACATTTCTGGGCTGAAGGGGGATTTCTCTGTCCCCAGCTCCGAGCGAGGCTGGAGATAGGGTTGTTCTGCCCCCCACTCCTGGTCCACCGGAGGCACCTGTGGGCACAAGTCTCTGCCTTCTTTCCCTTCTTTCCTGTTTCAGAAGCCATCAGGTGGCCCCTGCAGGCGGTGGTCAAGGTCACAAAACCTAAGGTGTGAAGGGACCCCTGTGTTCTGAGAGAGTGTTGGCTTGGAGGGGAACATGGGCTGCAGGAAGAAGCAGAAACCAGGACTAGAGGGCTCAGGTACAAGGCTCCTGGCTGGGCAGTGAAGAAAGGTCTCTTTCTAAAAGACTGCAAACTCACCCGACCCCAAGGCAAGTTAACACTGGTTTATCTGTCCAATAACATGGTTAGTCTGGTGAAGCAGGCGGAGATAGTAGCAGGCTCAGGCGGAGGTGTCGAAAAGGCGCTCGATCATGTCTCCCACCTGCTCCACGCGGTACTTGATGTACTTCTCAGGGTTCTTGGTGAAGGGCACGCTGCCGTACCTGAGCAGGCACTGTGGTCAGGGGGAGGGGAGAGGCCTATCCCTTCCCTGGCTCCACCTGCTGGTTAAGGCTCTCCTGATAGGGTCTCAGAAATGGCATGCAGTGGCCCTGAGTGATGGCCCTGTCTGGCCCCACACCAAAGCCCAGGGCACTGGATCTTCCCTCTAGATCCACCACACCCTCCTTTTTTACTGGAAGAAGAGAAAAGCAAAGAGACTGAGCTGGGGAGTGGCCGGGGGAGGGGTGGGGGGGGGCGG